TCGTCATTCTATATAGGTACTACAAATGAAGGCACAATAAACAATCTAATAAAACAAAATCTTTTAACAAAAAACCTCAAGCCCTTAATTTTACAAAATAAAGAAATTGAAGTTTCGAATACAAAATATAAAAAGAAAAATGAATGCAAGTAAGATGCCTTCAATGTAAGGCAGCTAGAGGCACAGTAGGAGACCATTCCTCTCCCATTTTCTTCTATCAGCAACCTGTTAACTGTCACACACATAGTAAGGCAGCTTACTCGCATGATTTTTTTAAAAATATTTTGTATTACTGTTAATATTTTGTAATAGATCCTTCACTATGTATATTTGTTTTGAAAATTTCCAAATTTCATTTTTTATCAGTTTGTTTTTTTTCCTTCAAGCAATTAGGATGATACCAACATGACTGAAAAGCTTATTGGCAATACTTTTTACAATAGGACTAAATAATCTTTAATTGAAAATCATGAAACATGAAAAAAAATGAATTTCATACATTGTTATAATTAGAGCCCAGAAGTTAGGCAAAATGCCTTTTTATTATTATTATTATTATTATTATTATTATTATTATTATTATTATTATTATTATTATTATTATCATTTATGACTTTTAACAATAGAAATCACTTAATTGAAGTTCTGGAATTGTTTTAGTAAATTTACATTTTGCCTATTTTAGCTTCTGATGCCTATTTTTGGCATTTAGCCTTATTTGTGCCTTTTCCGCTTCTTTTTGCCATTTTTTCCCTTACTCCTTCTGGCATCAAGGTCTATCAAGCTGGAAGCATGCAACCCTGGCTCCAGTTACAGGTTGTGTTAAAATCTACAAGGAAAAGGAAGATGATACCAATGAAGATTTTTGATATTTTTTTCATTGATGCATTGATTTCATTGACAGAATTGTTCACTCATGAGAAATATAATCCTATGTTTGTGTAAGGCCTCTGTTCTCTTTTGGGAATAGAGCTGTCGGTACATGATATACTCTTCTCAGTTACTTCTGGTTCTCTCTTCCTATCTGGCGATTACACATTGCTAAGAACAAATCTAAAATTCTGTTTTCACTGATACCATTTCAAGATTCAAAAGGGAGGCTACAATGGCTTTTTGTAGAGAAAGCATCACGAGTAAAATAAATTTGTAGTCCTAATACCAGATGGTCATACGCAATCAAGATGACAAAGAAAAAGTTTTTTTCAATGCGAGTGCTAATGTAAATTTTAGAATTAGAACAAAAATGTAAATATTTACAATAATTATTAAAAATAATTTCTTTACAATAATTATTTTAAATGGAGAATTTTCTACGTAATGAAGTAGTATACCAGATAAGAAAGTAATAACAATACACATGTCATGTAACAACAATTCTTAGCAGAAATGTGAATTTAAATTACAAATATTTTCTCAAGGGATTCTTGATTTTATATAGTTAATAACTATTGTTGGGTAGACTAAGGAACTCTCAAACAGGTTAGTGCAACATTAAACAAAAAAACTGTTTACAAGTGTTGCAAATATCAGTTTTTTTTTCTGGGAAAATATGAATGCTAATAAATATACTAGATTAAAAGAAACAAAAATACTAAAAACCAAAATCAGAAAATGAAAATAAATATAAAATTCACACACATGCCACAAATTAATTTGCTTCTCAGATAATTACAATGAATGAACACAGCAATTAAATACATTAACAAAATTAAGATTCTTCAAAACAAATGACAGTATTGTAAAACAACATTGGACATTTTAAAAATCTGAATGTAAATTACAACACTACATGCTTATGAGAACTTTCAGTTTGAAACAACTAATTACATTACAGAGAGGATGTTTGGAGCATATTTTGAAATATAATTTGATGTAACACTTCAAAAAACAAAAAGAAGTCGCAGCTCAAAATTAAACCAAAAATAGGTAACATTGGACACTGCATGGCTTTCAGTGAATGTCAATTAGTTCGACCCATGAAATGTGAATTTTGGATATAACTAATACAAGGAATCAAAGAGATGACACTTTATTTTTAATATTGTCAAAATTTAAAGATACACCCGAAGTGTGACAAAAAGCTGTACTTGCATCTGTTTAGTTCCTATCAAATTTTGGAGTTGAAAGAACACAGATTATATTATCTACTGACATTGCAAAAACGTTGCGTTGCGTATATATGCTGACATTGACGTGCACTGTTCTAAATACGAATAATTTGAATGTTTCCCTTCATGATGAAGCAAGTTTATGTAAACCTGGAGATGGGTGTAAACCTGAGTCTTGAAACATTGCTAGAATAATATACATTAATATTATAATAAATTCCATGATTTAAGACAGAAGGCTTTGTTTCAATTTTTGAGAGCTGTTTAAATTAATTATGATTGTCTTTAATAAAAGGAACCTATATAAATTGTTCAATATAATAAGACAATCAACAGCCTGAACTATTATTGCATTCTAGTCAAAAAAAAAAATCAAGAGATGAAAATTCAAACATTTACATCAATGTCCAAAGTTGTACCCTTGTCTAATTTTGCCCCATTTTAGTGTAATATTAAATTCTATTTCTTTAATTTGTTATTATATACCCATAAACAATATGCATGAGTATCACTTTCATAACTGGGTGAAATGTCATAAAGGAGGGAACAGTCCAGTAAGTTCCACCTCCTGTAAAATCTACCAACTAACTTCAAACATGTAACTTGGTGTTTTGTTCTAACTTCACTCTTTACTCAACAAACTCTTTTATAAATAATCCTAACACATCTAAGGGTGTAGGCAACTACACAAAAATTTTTGCTGGGATCAAATCAATTTCAGTACACAAACAGATTTCTATTTTACTAATTGATAGTCAATCAACTTCAGAAAAAAAAAAAGAAAAAAAATCATTCATAATCTTTCAAAATTGATGTACAACACACAAACAAAGAGTTTTAAAGTGCACACCAATAAATTACATATGAAATTCTTCAATCACGTTAAGAAAATTAAAGGATTGTAAGCGAGATGAAAAATTATCAGGGTCGTTTTTGATATGTAAAGCAATAATAATACAATGTTGTTATTAAGTACCCCAAAGACATATTCCACAACAACCCCTGACAATTGAGACAAATCAGTACAAAGCTATGTTATTTGCAGGAATGGTGGTATAAGAAATAAAAATTCTGAGCATTATGAAATAATGGTGAAGACAATAATTTTAAAAAATACAAGTGAATGTAAATGAGTTTGTTGAGTAAAGAGTGAAGTCAGAACAAAACACCAAGTTACATGTCTGAAGTTAGTAGGTAGATTTTAAAGGAGGTGGAGGAACTTATTGAGACTGTTCCCTCCTCCATGACATTTCACCCAGTTACGAAAGTGAAACTCATGCAAATTCTACAGTATGTATGTCACTAAAAGCTCTACTAGGCAAATGTATTCCAAATACATATTAAAAAAAGATGAGAAATGTATATTACTTATTTCCAATGTGCACAGAAATTGAAAGGAAACTATGGACTCCCCGTGTGATGGTTTCGTCACATAACTAGGAAGTCAGGAAAAATCCAAACACACTGAAACAGTTTCGATTTTAACAGAAAACTATGAACGTTGATAGTGAAATTGCACTTATTCTCAAACTGCACTATTGACTAATTCTTATACTAAGTGCATCACTGTTTACAACACAGCTGACATGTAACAGTAACACTCCAAGGAAGACTCCACACGTCATTAAAATTTTGATATTTACTCGTCACCTTACGGAATGGCAACTTTTTTTTATGTTCTTAGTACATACCTAATGTTATTATAGTTCTCATGAAGACTGTTTTAGTTAAAATATTTAATTATACCAGTGATATATGAGAGTATAACGTCATATGAGTATTTGTTGTTCTTGAGCAGGAAGTGTGCTCCTTTTTGGGAAATCATTTTGTGTGGTTTTGATCAGCAGCATTTTTGCTGCTACTAGTCACTAGTAACTACTAATGTCATTATAATTATGTTACCACAGAAGGTTTCAGGTTGTTTTCTGGTGAACCAACATCGGTTCCTGTGAAAGCTAATCAATTATCTGATCACCCTAGAGTCTACTTCTCCTCCTTTGTAGTGATGAGCTATCTCTGACATTGACTGGACAAACAATGAAAATATTTGAAGCAGGTTAGTACGTATAATAGGGTTTGTTCTTGAATAGAGATGGTAGGAGTAGTGTTCATTAACAACTGCTTAGTGCCTGAAGTAAGAGAGGTGGACATCATGGAAATATGATTCAGTTGATGGCAAAAGGTGCAATGGATGTAACATAGCAATTATTCACGTTACTTAAGCCAAGTCAAATATTTTTGGTGTTTTTATAATACCAGCAAATTAAAAATAAACAGGAATAAGTCAAGAAATATTCAAAGTTATGATGAAAAAGGGCCTAGTGATTAGGAAGTGCACAAAGCATTATTCTTAGGAACATAAAATACTAAATGGAAATTATTTCTCCCAAATGAGAGGGATCAAAAGAACATTAAATGAGTTTCAGAATCTGGAGGAAGAGGCTCAGAAAAATGTGCAAAATGAGAAGGAAAAGAGAATACAGGAGATAGTAGAAGAAAGGAGTCAAAAAGGTGCAAATCTTGAAGTTAATTTAAATACAATAATTTTTCGTCTCTTTCAGTCACCATCCCCAGGCATATCTTCAAACAAATAAAAATGATATCTAAACACACTAAGTAAATGTTTCAAAATTCTACATAAAGAGTACAGTGCGCAAATTAAAAATTACTGTACTCAGTACATCCCTTTTTAAGAATAATTTAATTATCCATTTTAAAATCAGAATTGATATGGTGTAAAATAAATTAACCCACCCACAAATAGAGTTTTCAATTACCATCTAACAATGAACCTATCCTTACTTTTAAAGTGTCCAGAAAATACATCCTCCTTACAATACAATAAATTTCAGCATTGAATTCAGTAATGACATGGAATTAAATTGAACTTACCTGAGCTTCTAGTCTTTCTTCTTCTTCTTTTTTTCTTTTTCTTTTGACTGCCACCTGAATTACTAGAACTCTCAAGAGAGGCTTTCCTCTTGTTAGATTCTGCCTTTTCTCCACTATTATCCACAGGAGTATTGTCACAACCATCTTCTGTTTTAGAAACAGCACTATCTTCAATGCCTATCGTTTCCGACTGCCTTTCTTTATCATCACTCGTCTTCTCTTCTCCCAGTTCCTCCGCACCTGCTTCAGAGTCTTCCTCTCCATCATTCTTAGCATCAGTTCTAAATGAACGGAGGTTGTCACCTCCATTCTTTGCGTTTACATCACTTTCAGTCTTATCAATTTCTTCTCTTCTTAAGTCCTCAGATTCGCTATCTTCATCACAACCTTCTTCATCAGTTGACATTTTCGCAGTATCCCCACCACTTTTCACTGAGTCCACTGAGTCAGGTTCATCTTTGCCTGGTAATGTTTCAGATTTTTTGGGGTCCTTCCCATCTCCTGCTGGAGGCTTAAGAAATATCTGGAGATCTTCACTAACATTAATTGTGTCACTTTCATTTTCACTCCCACCCGGCACTCGTTTTGCAAGACTCACAGATGGAGCTGGAATGCTTTCTTTTGGCTCCTTTCCAGTTCTGGGTACAACCCTTTCGATTGTGACATCTCCAATCCTTGTCACAAATGGCTCCATATTTTATTTGAACACTAGTGTAGTGAGAATAATCAAACGAAAATGTCTGAAAAATAAAAAAAAAAATTAATGCAATGTTATTAATTCTTCATGTAATAATATAAATTAGTAGATGATTATTTATCTTTCTATTGATAATGCATTGTCACGACTAACAACACTACCCCTCTTTTCTCATACATTCACTTACACACACATGCATGCATTTCCACCAAAAGCAGAAGATAAAAATATGTCCATTTATACATAAACAATTCATGTATACCTGATTTCCTCATAATATAATTCATACACAAAATCCATTCTTGAAGTGTCAATGTATTTACATGCGAATTAATCACAATAATATAAGTAGCATTCGCATTATTAATTCTGAATCTTGCGAATATAGGGTACCTGTCATTTTTTTGCCAGTATGAGGTATTTTAACACTCTTGTTCCAATTTCAAAGCTCTTTCTAGAGACATTCACAATATGCTCTAAAGACATGAATAATCAAGTTAGAAACTGATGAAACTGCAGTTCACTCTCATTCAGAGGACATTTTCTTAATTGAATCCATTCAAAATTAGGTACATGTGAGATAGTAACCTTACAGCTTTGAAGTACAGAATTATAAAAGTAATTAAAAATTTTCAAATCACAATTTACAATGGCGTGGCTTAAATTTTTTTTAAAACATTGTAAGTTTTGAAAATATTCACTACCCTTTCCTAATTTTTTAACGTTCATCTAATTTCAAGAGAACCATAATTACATTCACATGAAGCGTAAAAATTCATTCTATACCAGTATATTTCAAAATTAAAATATATTAAACATATTCTTACTTGCGTCATTATCAAACAGTTTTGTTTCATTACACAATTCGTAATGCAACACACAATCATTGATATAAATCAGAAGTTTTGTCTTATTTAGTTCTTAAGAAAAGTAAAGTTCTTCTTGAAGCATCTTTTGGTAACAAACAAAAAAATTGTGAAAGTATTTCTGAATAAAAATTAATGGCGTCTTCAAAAGCAAGTAGAATTAAAAATTCAAAATTCACTTAAGAAAAAAAATAATAATGAAATAAAATGAAAAAAAAAAAACTTGGAAAAACTTAAGTTCTTATATCCAAAAGAGAAAATACTTGTTTACAAAAATAAAACAAATGATTTTACAATTTGTAATGAAGTAATCCTAGCAACAAAATAACAAAGAAGTGTAAAACAAACATGTTCATATTCAAATTACATACATACAAACAAGCAGCAAAAAATAATAAATAAAAAAAAGATCGAAGAGCCTTTAAAAAAACTATTTGTTATGACATTTAGATAAAAACAAACAAGCTCTACAACTAAAAGAAAAAGCTGTATTGTTAAAGGGGGAATTGCATTACACTGTTTCAGGTACTTTGTGCAAATAAAAAGAGGAACATAAAATATATTCTTCCACTTAAAATGAGATAAATGAATTTGCAGTAAAGGAAATCAACTGAATTCTCACGAATATCTTTTGCATATAGTTTTCAATTTTTTTCAGTAATAAAATGTTTTTACTAAAATACTACACTCTCATCATAACCTACCTTTCTTATAAATTACAATCAACTTCAGCTACACATTAAGTAGTGACAAATTTGTAGGAAAACTTTTCTCTAAGAGAATAATAATACAGAATAAAAAGGAAAAAATGTTTCATTAAAATAGCTTAATGTTAAACAAATTTGCATGCATTTCTGCATTCTGAAAACTGGTAAAATGTTCTTCAGGCATTAGAGTTCAAAGTGCACTATTATTTCACAATCCAAGTTCTTCTAGCACATTTTTTTAATCATTGTTCACTGCAATAAAGTTAAATTTTGTTTTAAAATAATATAATTATTTTAGCTAGTAAACCTACAGGCCACTCCCTTTAAGTGTTTTCACATAACAATAATTAATTTAAAAAAATTCTTTAACAGTTGTATTAAATATTTTTATCTTTCTCTTGACAACTTATTAACTTTTATAATTCTTGCTTTAATAACAAATTTACAACAGCTGAGTACCCAAAACTAATTAAAATGCTCCCAGAGATTAAAAATTAAACAAAAACATAAACACTACCACACAAATATTCAGAAACCTTCAACATTACTCTTTTGCATATTTGCCTCAGTAAAAAGTTCTTCAAACGCATTCAGAGAAGAATTACTTTTGTTACATGAAAACTTTCACCAAGTCACAAAATACACTAAAAATTATCTTCATGAATTCAATCACTGAAAAGATTTTTTATTGAATGTTTATGTTTGCACTGTTTAGTATTTCACTTGTCTTCATGTTTCACAGTCTTGGACAGCTTGTAATATTTTCTCGTTTTAGTGTCTTGAATAATGATGAATAAGATATTAGATACATGTACCACAAATAAATATCTGGCTACCACACCAATACAACTACCATTTCCTCTTATGCTGAACCCTACATATAATCACTACAGAACTCCCTCCATGTAAACACACACAAACATTATGTGAAAAGGGGCAACATTACCATTACCAATGTAATAACAAAATATAGATAAGTATTTACTGTAACATTTAAGATGCTTTTCAGATATTAACAATACTAACACAAGAAATCTGATGATAGAAAGTATCCATACAGGTGCAGATTCTGATGGACACAATTTTGTGTCAACAGGTTCACAGTTTTCTAAATAACTATGGTTAACAACCCATAATATGAGAGGTTTACACTACATATGTAAGGCACTTTGCAAACCTCTAAATACTATTAAATAAGGCCTAGTTCAATGAAAACACATTGATGTGTCAAGATATATAACCATAAACAGAAGAGATTTACAAAGAATTTATGAATGAGCTACAGGGTTGACTGAGGTGTAATCCGCCCTTCAGGTTGCCTGATTCGCAAGGTCCATAAAAACGAATTATAATATTGTCCATTTTGCACAAGAAATCAAAATACGTCGCTTCTCATGGGCCACTGATTCCACTCTTAGCGGACATGACACTTCTATACACGATAATGAAAGCATTCTTTCAACACTTCCAAGCGCCGAAAACACTCAACCAAAACACACTGGATGATGACATTATAATACTTACAATTCCATCGTTCCTTACTACCTGATTTTTTACCAGGTTATTTACTTCAACAAATTCAAAACGGTCGCGATTCCGTCTTCACTTCATCTATCCAATCAATTTGACAGCCATTTATATCACCCGAATTCGGTAACGGTATGCTACTAAATCAATAATAAATGTAACCATGGTGTCACATTACACTCAGGAACAGCTGCTCATATTTTGAACAGCATTTCAGAGTAATTTCTACATTTTACCTCAAGGAAGCATATCCTAAACGCACAAAAACTACCTCGCGGCGAAATACTGCTGCTTTTCAACATTGTTGCCAAACGTCACACGGACCGACCTGTGGATGCTGGATATGAAATACAGGCGGTAAAATGTGGAAGAAAACCCTTTTTTCCCTTCAAGTTGTCCCTCAGAAACAAATTAATTCTATCACGGCAATTCCTAGCGTCACTTTATCGCATAAAATTTACGTAGGTCAATCTCTTTATTCTCAGTGTACGGAATGATTTCTTCCTGTTTGTTTTCTGTACAGAACTGCCTAGTTGATGTTAACAACACTGCTCATAAAATGCCGTTTATTCTCTTTATATATTTTTTGAGAACTAAATGTTGACTATTTTTCCACCTTCCTTACATTTGCTCATGATTCAATGAGAGGATGTAAATATTTTGTAGAGATACATGGTCCGTAGAACAATATCGTACTCATGACTTGTTCAAAGTAGTACTACTATGTGGGGTTCCTATCTTACTACGTCTGAGATATTCCTTTAACAACAAATGTATTCTTGCAATACACAGAATATTGAGGGATATAAATTTTGAAAATCATGAAGGTGAAAAGTATAAGGCCATCACACAGCAAAAGAAAGCAATGTATGTCTGTATATCGAGACAGTTTCGAAGAATTCTTGATGATCGTGTTACCACGAAAATATTTTTTCTCGTGAAAACATTTTTAGAATACTATATTCAAATACACTTTTTATATTATGAATATCAATGACATGATAATTTTATCTGAGATAAAGCCCGATGTATTAAACTATCCGCACAATATTGCTCATGTCAAATCCATCGTGGAAATCCATTGCTTACAAAAACCCCTTTTGTAAACAAAAATACTATGTACAACGTGTACGAAAAGGTTTTCCACTTCTGTTTACTGTGAAAAGAGTTATTATACCGTATTTCTATGCGAAACGACACATATAATGAAAACAAAAGACTAAACCTAATTTTCGATTCATTCACGTTTCATCATACTTGCAACAATATAGTGCGCACTGCACACAGAGCGCGCGTGTAAATATCACGTTGTGGAATTCCTACTTGAACAATGCGCGGGAGTTACAAATATACAATAATACGTGGGTTAAACATAGCAATCTTGCCAATGTAGAGGAAATCTCAACAAAATAATTGTCTATAAAAAAGAAATAGATATATGAAACACATTAACTCACTTTCATTCCAAAACTTCTGAGATTTCTAATAACAGACATAACTTAACAAGTATCAGAGACTCAGAAATGCATTTAAAAAAAGAAATTGAGAAACTGAAATAATATTTATAATTTTTAATGTTGTTCTTCATTTTTCTCAATATTTTGAACATCAATGTTGTTATTTTATATACTAGCAGAGTTTATTTATCAGACCTGCATCTCCATGATCTTTTCATATTTGCAAGTTCTTTAAAAGAATATTCATGTCTTCTTCAGTTGTTTGAACATGGCTTGTGGTTTAAAAAATTTTCTAACAAATGATATTCTGTTGATGATCATGATTTACCTTCATGAACAAAGTTACAAGAAACAGCTTTCCATATTGACATTTTAAGAATACATTACTATTTTTCTGTAGTAATGAAAGTCATTCAGTACTGCAGTTGAATAACGATTATAAATTAATAAATAAGTACAGTATCAATAAAAAAAAAAGCTTTAGAAAACATTCTATAGCCACTGTTGACACACACACACACACACTCCTACAAACACACTCCCTGGTGTGTTGCAGATCCATTCTCAATTGTAACTGTGAATAATTTGAACTTCACTTAATTTAAAATTCATGTATTGGACATGGCAAATGTTCATATGAGCCACTCTCAATAATATTTGTACTGTGGATGTAATGAACAAAGTAAATAATTTTTAAAGAATGAATAAAGTGAAATATTTGGAAAATAAATTTGATAATTCTAGCTATTAGAACAAGGAAGAAGAAGGGAAGATCACAACCGGTCCATAGCCCATTTGTTGGATTACTGCTGTGGCATTCACGTGGTGCTGGGTGGAGAAATCACAGAAAAATAATGATTAGAGCAGCTGATTGTTTGAATTCTCTTCCCAGACAGTAGCTGAATTTTTTCTAGTTATCTAGCTAGTGTTGTAACTCCTGACTCTGATGGAACTCAAACCCTAGAACCAACTGGACAGAATCACTGCAGTGATATCAGTTGAGACACCTCAGCCGGTGGTGTCTTTGAGGATGAACTAGATCTATTCAAAATGACAGTTATTTTTCTTTTCAATTAGCATTAAAGTTGCGAGAAGTTGTGAACTTCAACTTGTTGGAATGCATAGAATTCTTAAAGTTCAAACATATTTTACTCGCAAAGTAAAGAATGTTGCTTGACTGTTTGATATATAATGCTGATCAATTCTATGTGTATTTTTATGAACACATTATGAACTCAATTTTTTAATTATTTTTATATAGTACACTTTCTCTGGTTATGAGAAGTTTGCTGTTCTCTTAATTTTTCAAATGTTTATTCAATTATGTTATCAGTTCTAGTATTTTACGCAATTTAATATAGGTAGGTAATACAGGATTTATTTTTGAATGTCACAAAAAGTGTGAATAAATTCTAAATAAAGGGGGTTTTTATATATTTATTTTTATAATTAGAAACGAAAAAAATATTTATTGAATGTTAATTTTTCAGAAATATCCAAGTTAGGTGGAATTTGATGTAGTTTGACCCATATAATCATAATACCCTTGCTTAACTATTAAATTTGATATATAAATAATTGAATTGTTTGGAAACATAAGGTATGACATCTGTCTTAAGCTATTATATAACTTCTTCCAGATGAATAGTTTGGCACAAATATGAAGGAAATTTAATTCAATATCCTTATTTATATATTATTACCTTTTTAATATAGATTTACATATAACATATACATTATTTTAATGTGAATGTAATTATACATTATTTTGCAATAAATATATAAACCAATGTACTCACTTTTCATAAATCCAATAGCTTCCAACTAATTTTCACGATTGAGTTCGTAAGTTACCATCATTTTTATTATCATCAACATGCTCGGTTTAGGAATGATTTCCCTGTCCTACTAGTGAATGAAACAGTATTCCTTTATGTGTTGACGTATTCCTACTGGTGTCATTTTCTTGTGAGTCTTCCTCTGTTCCTCTGTATTCTGGTCTATAATTTAATTCTATTTGTGGTCATCATTGTTTGTCCACCCTCTTCACATGTTTTCTCATTTCCTCTGGTATTTTTTAAAATCAATTTTCTAACTTTTCTGCTTTTATATATTTTGTATTTTTTTCATTTTGAATTTTGTCTTTTTTTTGTTATTCCTAAAACTCTTAAAAACTTTATCTGAGCTACTTCTTTGCTTCTGGTTTCCTTTGCTCCAATTATTTACTTTTCTGTCCCATACTTCAATTGATTTTGATGTAATGTTTTGAACTCTCGTAATAGTTCCTTTTCTCTTATGTCCAAAAGTCTCTTAATTATTCCATTGTTTCTGTTATATTTTTGTATTTTTTCTTCCATGTTCTTCTAATCCAACGGAATTTCTCAGATATTTAATGGAGGGAACTTGTTCAATTACTAAATTTTGTACAACTATTTCGACTCAAAGGTGTTCTTTGCTATAGAATATGTAAGTTAGTGAGAAAGTTTTCTAAGTTCGCAATCTAAATACTATTCACAATACACAACCTGAAATTTGTTACAACAAAAAGAGTTTGCATGCTTCACAGGGGCAAGTCCAAACCCTGTGAAGTGTCCTAAACCCTACCCTAATCCTAATTCCTCTCCAATTCCGGCCGCTGAGTAGTGACATAGGGGCGCATTCTAGAAGGCACATACGCAGAGATGATACTTGGCAGTCCTCTTGACAACTGACTGCGACTGCTGAAAACAACTAAAAATCAATCACATATTCTGCCTTAATGTAATTCAAAATTATATTCCGTGGCTCTTTAAAAGCACATTATTGAAAATGTGGAAGATTTAAAACCTTCTATCAGTGCATTTTGTTTTGTTCGACTTTAATAAGAAGAAATAAATATCTTTCTAACATTTTATTCGAAAATGGTTTGACTGATAATGCTCAATTACTCATGGGCATGTTTAAATCCATGGCTAGCACATATTCTAATAAAACTTCATCAAAGTCATCAAAATATTGCTAATTTTTCAATATATTATTCTTATTATGACAAAATTTTTACAATAGAATTGCCAGGTAAACTGAGCGGTAAAGTACAATTGCCAAAAGGTGAACTGTCAATTCTAAATGAAAACTCACAAAAAAATAAGGATCCAATTGTTGATTCAAAGAGAAACACTGAATATTTATGCTCTTTTTAATTAATAGTAAGGAGTTTGCAATTTTTCAGTCAAGAGTTGCACATGTAAGATAATCAATGTATTCACTCAAGTAAAAAGAAGAGCCTTTTTTAAAGGAAGTGAAATTGTTGTTATTGCCTTCAAATTTAATTTGAAATAGAAGTCATCCCTTTTTATTTTCAACAGCATATATTTCATTTCATACTTTACAACAGGTGATATATATCTTTACATTGTTTCATAAGATCAGTATCTTACCATCTTCAGGTATATTATAAGGGGATGCTCAATGAAATAATTTGACTTACTACTTCATATTTAAAACTTTTTTTTTAACTTTGGAAAGTTCAGAAAGAATTTATCAATATACAGGCAATGATACCAATGTGGAGTACTATTGTGCATCAGGTTTTGTGCTAAATAGCAATACATGGGAAATAAAATTTTTTGTACATCAATGAAATGAGTCATCATGTTGTTATTGCATTGTAACAAATGGATAAATTTCTTTCCAAAGTAGTGGTAACACAAGGTAAGCTAGGAACTAGGGCCAGTGAATAAGACTGAATGGGGTCCCCTTTCTGTATAGGGCTCATGGACCAGAGGAGCACCTTTCGTAAGTGGAGTCAAGTCTCTTCAGTAATAAGGGCTCATCCTGTACAATACAATAAAACGTAATTTTATGTTCTTATGTCATGTTTCATACAAGCATTTGATTCAAACATTGATAATTCATAAAATTACTATAAGTTAGTAGTATATTATATACACAGTACCTACAAGGTATATAAACAATAAGATCTCCCATCACATTTGGAGACAATATAATATGTTAAAATTACAATATAATGTATACTATTATGATAATAATGTTACTACTAACCAATACATTTTAAAAAAATTGTAAAGAAAGTTACC